CTCCGTTACGAAAATTGCGGCTGAAGTGGTCCACGTTAAGGTGATTGCTTTCAGTGTTAGTCTTGGAGACAGCGGCCTTCTCATTGTCCGCACAATCGCTAGGTAGCGGTCAAAAGCCATCCCGGCCAGTGTCAGCACAGACACACCAGTAGAAATATGGGCAAGAAACGGCAGGAACTTGCACAGAAAGACAGCAAAACCTCCTTGGAACCACTTGACGCCTTGAAACAAGTACGCTAGGGACAGTGGGATAGCAGTAATAGAAGCTAACACATCCGAAGCCGCCATGTTGACAATCAGCATATTGAATGTTGTCTTCAGCTTTGGATAATGAAAAATTAAGAAAATGATTACCAGGTTACCAAGCAACGCCATCGACAAAGTGGTGGCATAAGCTACAGACAAGGCGATCTGGAGACACAACGTGGCTGGCTGAAACGTGCATGCGTCTTCTTCGCTTGACAGATCTAGAACTGGAGAAGAAGGGTTAAAAAAGGATTAATTAGCTTTGCTAATTGCTAGTTTTATTCACTAGAAGCAGATATCGTTTGTTTATGTTGATCTAATATCCGACGATCCAACTCATCATCGTTCGATGGGTCTAAGGTGCTTTCCATACAAGCAAAACTGCCAGAAATTTTTGTTGAAACAGCCCATTCCAGTTATTCCAAAATTGTTCACGGGAGCTTGTTCTTCCGATAGCCGTCAAGATTGTCAATAAAAATTTCATCCCAAAATATCTCGATAACGTTCTAATAGATTTCGCTTTTACTTCACGAACATCGAGAAAGCTATTGGAGGAAAAAGCTTCCGTGAACGATTTGCAAGTAAAATAGGTAATGGCGTCATTTCGTTGCTATGACAACTCCTATGTCATTGTAACCCTGATTATAGCAACTTTTTCATCTTTATCTAATACAGCTGTGGTGGTGATTTTTCCAAATCTTTGTTAATGGCAACATAGTTTATACTCAAAAGTGGTTGGTATTGACCCTGAAAAACCCCTCCGAGCCACCTTAATCGGACAATTTTTTGTGAAATGAAAACGGCCCCAATTCCGTCCATGACATAAAATTTCGGAAAATTGCAATTTAAATGAAGCGCCGCTGTGTCTCCGGAATCAATTCAACGTTGTTAATAGGCTAATTGCGAGTTCCAAAATCCTCACGTTTAAATTGAGCCCGAATACCAATTCCCTTTCTAATGAAAATGAGTCTTATTCGCAGGATAATATTCGCCAGGCAATAATCGGAATTACGAATGTTATTGCATGGGCCGTAGAAATTAAAGCTTCGATTATTTGAGAAAACAATTGAGCTCGATAGAAAAGCAATAATTCTTTTTCATGGTTAAAGATGTCCCCCAAGAAACACAGGTATAGATCAAATGGGAGAAAATGTTTAGCAACGCGAGACTTAAGCACTTATGATGGACGAATCTCGTATGTTGGCTCCAACTTGAGTCTCTGGACGAAATCCTTTGTTTTGACTATTTAAATGAAACCCCTTTGGGAGTGCTTTCACATACCACAATTTGTTGTTCTGCATTTTGTCTAATTTCGACTTTAATCACTTCTGTGAGTAGGAAGCGAAAGCAACGACGACGACAACGGCAATGAAAACGTCGCCTAAAAAGTTGAATTTGCGTCTTTTCAAACTTTATAGCGTCTTTTTGGAACCGCTCGATTAGTTAAATGTAGGCGATTTTTCCTGGATTTTTCTCAAGGATTTTATTCTAGTTCAGAATGAGAAAGGAAAATTTGTCTTCGTATGTTCACGTCCACCCTTTTATAGGAGGTTTCACGTCGCAGTCGTACAATGGACGTCAAAGAAATATACTAAAAAGCGTGATACACGTGCAGAACTTCTGTTTTGCTCATAAAACCAGTTGTTTCCTGCGGTTGTTATTATTATTGTCGTCTTCGTCGTGGTCTCTTGAGCTCCCTGGTGAAAGTGTTAAAATAAACTTAATGACATAAAGCGAGAATGTTACCTGTGCTGTTGCCAGACATGTTGCCTCGGATCAGTTAATAACCCGGGAGTGAAAACAAGGCTTTCCTGTCAAGATGTAACGAGAGATTGAACTGCAGGAAACAGAGTTTTAAGGATCCCCAGTCATAATAATCTTTACGTACAACGCTGAAGACAATTAATCCCTTACGCGTGTCTTTAAATGAAATGTTAAGTCCTCAGAGTTACACGGTTTCTTCAGTGATAAGGATTAAATGGGGTTTTATAAGTGACTTTATATAAAGAGGCAGCTTTCCTAAAGGCTAAGGGATTATTGCTAACCTTTTCTGTCCGTGGAGATCATGATAGCGTCATGAAAAAAAATTCCTTACAACTTTTAAATCGTACTGTGACGAATGTAGTAAATAACACAGTGATAAGGCCCTATAATTTTGAGACTCGCTGAAGTTTTGATTCCGTCCAACGGTAGTTTACTGGGATATCCTCAGTGTATCCTCTCTTTCTAAATCATCGCGAGACGCAAGGAAATTGCAGCTGAAATTTTAGCGACAAAAACAAGCTGTGCATCTCGAAGCAGAAGGAAAACAAAAGGATATAAATGCGGAAAAATAGGGTGTTGTTTCCTAACTATTTTTGAAAAAAAGGGCAGATTGTTATGTTATCTGAGTATACACAAAGCGATAAGGATGCTTCTTGCCTTGATTTGGCAGGTTGTAACCCGACAATACCCAAACAATATATAATAACCTTAATTATGAAAACTTGTTTGGGATGGGATTGGAAAGTTAGAGAAAAGAAGTTACGAACGTTTCTTGCAACTAAAGACCGGTCAAGTGGTGCTGTTAAATTCTGCTCCATAAACGAACCGGAATGCATATTTGAATTTTCAACCAAAATTATAACCTTGGTTATCGCGGCATTAATGCCGGTTGGAATGGGAAAAGGAAGAACGTTTGAGGATATATCTATCTTTTCCGGGAACTTTTCATCGTAACCGGTGTAAAGCTCTTCTGTACCACTTAGTAGATTTCAACCGAACCAAGACCCATGATTAACGCTCTATGGCTGCTCATGTAATTCAGTAAAAATATCTAGTAAGATTTTCACTCAGTTTTCGTCTTCAAAAGAACATCATATGGCAAGAGCAGATACGACAACAAAGTGAAACCACTCTTACCTCAATAACTGTGTTGAATATTCGATGAATAATATTTCTGAATCCCTATACTCTTGTACAATTTTTGCCTGCGAAAATTCTTCGCAAGAAAGACAAAAAATGATTTTTTCAACTGAATTGCTAATCGTGCGTCAGCTGAAAGGAAGTAGCTCTCTAATCGCTTATGCAAAACAGCTCCGTCATAAAACAAACACAATAGTCTTTCCTTCTCTAACTGCTGAAGTAGATACCATTAGCACAAAAGAGCTATTTCCCGAACTTTGCGGGTTAACCAAAGCGTTGCTAGACAATATGTCGATTGTTTAAGTATTTCTAGGTTTTCAAATGTACCAATTTGACGACGGTGCATTTCTCTGTTTTTAGCTAAATCGTAATGAATCATTGCCCGAGAATAAATCATAGAAAAAGTCTCTTATGAAATTAAAACGCTTGCCATCCTATGCCTTAAAAACATGCATGATTGCTAAGTTTCCAAACTAAAACGAGAAGCACTTCCCTTTCATACGTTAAGAAGCTGAAATCATGGCTTGCTATATNACGTTTCTTGCAACTAAAGACCGGTCAAGTGGTGCTGTTAAATTCTGCTCCATAAACGAACCGGAATGCATATTTGAATTTTCAACCAAAATTATAACCTTGGTTATCGCGGCATTAATGCCGGTTGGAATGGGAAAAGGAAGAACGTTTGAGGATATATCTATCTTTTCCGGGAACTTTTCATCGTAACCGGTGTAAAGCTCTTCTGTACCACTTAGTAGATTTCAACCGAACCAAGACCCATGATTAACGCTCTATGGCTGCTCATGTAATTCAGTAAAAATATCTAGTAAGATTTTCACTCAGTTTTCGTCTTCAAAAGAACATCATATGGCAAGAGCAGATACGACAACAAAGTGAAACCACTCTTACCTCAATAACTGTGTTGAATATTCGATGAATAATATTTCTGAATCCCTATACTCTTGTACAATTTTTGCCTGCGAAAATTCTTCGCAAGAAAGACAAAAAATGATTTTTTCAACTGAATTGCTAATCGTGCGTCAGCTGAAAGGAAGTAGCTCTCTAATCGCTTATGCAAAACAGCTCCGTCATAAAACAAACACAATAGTCTTTCCTTCTCTAACTGCTGAAGTAGATACCATTAGCACAAAAGAGCTATTTCCCGAACTTTGCGGGTTAACCAAGGCGTTGCTAGACAATATGTCGATTGTTTAAGTATTTCTAGGTTTTCAAATGTACCAATTTGACGACGGTGCATTTCTCTGTTTTTAGCTAATCGTAATGAATCATTGCCCGAGAATTAATCATAGAAAAAGTCTCTTATGAAATTAAAACGCTTGCCATCCTATACCTTAAAGACATGCATGATTGCTAAGTTTCCAAACTAAAACGAGAAGCGTTTCCCTTTCATACGTTAAGAAGCTGAAATCATGGCTTGCTATATAAGGGCACCCACATTATCTCTCTTTTTACCTTGAATTTATTTTCCCACACATCACAACATGATGTCCGGATGATATCGCTTTTAATACACACGTTTATGAAACTTTATGAAATAGCCGGTGAGCATTAGCAATCTTGAAAGTGTATTTTACTCACTCGAAGTGTTCTCATTGGCTAAGAGGCTGTAATGACCATCTATAATATATTATGAAAATCAGTGCACTCAACAGATTATTCACTTATCTGTCGGAATCGAAGATAAGTGAAAAACAACCGTGGTTCAATTTGATAGCATTTGCAGTTGTTACCCAGACTATGAAAAAAGCTGTCTTATTGCTGTGCTTGTTGGAAACGCTGGAATAATGGTATCAAAGGGCCAAAATTGCCACAAAAAATTAGGGCTTATTTTCATAGATGAAGGTACAACGATGAATGAACCGCGTTTGATGTGTCTCTATAGCCTCTGACTTGATTAATTCTGCGAAGTGGGACATTAGTAGATTGATGACAGATTCCTCCAGAGAAAGTGCGCGAACTAACAATTCAATAATTCATTAATAGGCAATAATTCAATCAGTTTTATCCACCACCTATTTTAATAAAAAACCTTTTCAATTCTTTAATTTTTACCTTTTTCTGATCAAGCAAGAGCTCAGTTTGATTTTGTTATAGAGCGGTTTTCACTTGACTGTCGTAAAACCAAAACCAAAGTAAATACACTAGCCAACCAAAGGGCGTAGTAAAACCAAAACCAAAACCAATCCCTTTCGACAGTCAAGTGAAAACCGCTCTAACTGAGAGAACGTTCATTCCGCTTCCTCTTTAATTTGTGTGTTTGGTACTTGAAGCTGCCTTCACCAGGAAGATCCTAGTATTAGCAACAAAGCAGATAAAAATGGCGGCCGGTCATCACGTTGCCACGATCTGATTATTATGATAATTCTGTTGAACGGTAGTTAGTTATTAACGCCAGTAAAAGAGCAGAAGGGCCCAAATTTCTTCTCTTCTTGAATAGCACACGGACCGAAATTTCTGCATGTAAACCCAACGAAAAGTTGTTCCGCCTTCTAGGATCTTCCTGTTACTAGAATCTTCCTCCCTCGATCCATGTCAACAGCCCCTAAAAGCAATCCAATCCCGGATTGCAGATCCAGCGCTCTAATAACCGCTCGGCCACGCTGACTCCTCCTCCTCCTCCTCCTCCTCATCTTTATTTCGGCAGAAATCCCAAAATTTCAATGAGGAAGTGTCAGGTTGGTCGCGACCGCTTAATCGAGGTAGTGACCTCTTAATTTGAAGTGAATCATTAAGGGTAGTAAATTTCCAAAATTTCATAAGTGACCGCTTAATCATAAATGCTTAACAGCTAGGTGACCGCTAAAGAGAGGTTTGAATAGTCAAACATCTATTCACCCTGGGGGGATAACCATGACCACGCAAATTCCAGGAATTTATAAAATGAGCGCTTAAAGCGCGTACGAAGTAAAAACTAAGTTAAACTTTTTTGAAAGTCCTTCCATTCTAAAAGCATTTCTGATGTTATCACATTTTTAATTTGCATATTAGATACAAAAACATAAATACAGTGAAACCTTTAAGCGGGCACGCTCTATTAAGCGGACTGTAGCCGAAGTCCCCAAATTTATTTCCCTTATTTACTTTAAATGAAACCTTTATTAAGCGGACACCTCTATTAAGCGGAAGCGAACACCTAAAAAGTACCTGAAATGGTCATTTCTATTGTTGCCAACCTGTATTAAACGGACACTTGTAATTAAATTCCACCACCCAACATGCCAGACACCGGAAATGCGAAAGATTGCCTCCAATTGCCACCCACATATTTTTCGATTTTTACATTAAAAAAAGTGACTTGACGAACTTATTTGATTAGTTTCCCAGTACAGTATTGTTTTCTATTTCGTTTTGTTTGTATAGAGCTTTTTTCACTCATCTGATTTCTTCAAATTTGAGTTGTAATCTATGTTTAAGGTACTATGATCAGATCAATTGGTCCCCTTCAATAAAGAAATTCATGCAAACGTATATTCGTCATAGTCTCTGGGAGTATTCTAAACGTTTCCACTGTTCATTTGAATGGCATTTGACACCTCATATGACGTTATCTATTGAAACCTGTATTAGGCGGACACCCTGTATTAAGCGAACACTACAGTATTCCCCGAGGGTGTCCGCTTAATACAGGTTTCACTGTAGTAGCGAAAAGCGCGCGCTTTTTGGCGGCAAAAAAGGATTAAAGTCTAGCTTTAACTACCTCTGAGTCAATAGCCCATTCGGCCTTCGGCCTCATGGGCTATTGACTCAGAGCCCATTCGGGCTCGAGGACTAATTGTTAATTAGCTCCTGTAATACTATATGAAAGTAACACAAGTAAGAATTCAGAAGGGTCGATAACTCTCTAATTAGAACACTTGATGACGTCATCTAGCCTGAGAAAACAGCCGACATTTGGCGACGCTACCACTGGTAACCCCGACAAATGACGTCTGAGAAACGAGCAATTGCGAAGTGGCCGCCCATTATGATAGAGCTCTATCGCGACATACAATCTTACGGACATCAGTGTAGACAGGGTACGTGGCGTTGACAAGTTCACTATTTTTCAGTTTAAAAATTGCGTAATTGACATAAGGCCAATTGTATCATTTTTTTCCTATAACTTTCACTATAATTTCGTGTTATCTATTTTCTTTATAAATTTTAGCTGTTGCTCTTTGCACTGCATTTTTTCCCCATTTTTTCAAAATGACAATGAATTCATTTTAAAAAAGGCCAACTCTTGCCATTAACACGAAACTGTGGTGTCCATCGTTCATAAAATCACGAAATAAATCCCAGATGCGTTATATATGTCGCTTATAAGCAACCTCGTCCCCAGGGTTTTTCCCTTTTTTTTAGGGAAAAGCCCCGGGGACGTTCATGATTATTCCAGATGTGACAATGTTAGCCGGCATAACGTGAGAGAAGGGAAAGGAGAAAATTATTAATCAGGCTGTCACATCTGGGATACTCACAAGGGACTTATCCGGATATGACAGCCTAATTCTAGCCTTCGCAGCAAACATTATTGCTCTCCTTCCAACTCAGTTTCGCGCTTTAATTCGAGTGGAAACCCTTGTCACGTGGGCTAGCCTAACTCCACATCCCTTGTCTTGGATGACAGTGATGATAGAGGCCTGGGTGCTTGATTCGTTCAACTTCAAGTGACATCATCAAGACGCGATCGATTAGATCCCAGTCTTCTCCGCCCCATTTGTATTGGTAGGCTGAAGTGTTCATTCCTGTTTGGGCAAAGATAAGTTTTTCAAACAAATAGATCAGAGACAAACTGAAGCAACTTTTAAAATAACTGGTAAGTAAAAGGGTTGTTTTTTCTCGTTTGTAATTTAATTCAATTATCAGTAATACCTGCAAAATCGTACATGCATGTCGTTGCGGAGTAAGCATAGATCTTCGGCCTCGTCTCATTCACCCTTACACGTTCATTAAAAGCGAGCATAAAAAAGCTCATGACATTTTTCAAATCGCTGAGGAAATATAGAGCGTTTTCACTCACGTGGCCAGCATCTATGCTAATTCATTGGAACAAAAGAAAGTTTTTACATAAGAAAAGAGTTCAATTCCGACAGGGTTGTCTTGGTACACCAGCAGGCCGCCATTTCATTGCTTTGGAACACCAATATGGCCATCGTGAAGTCATGTGAAAACACTCTTTACATCGGTGTCCTAGTAGTTTATCTTATATGTGCCTTCATTGGTCTGGGTGGTTAGGGTTAGGATTAGGGTTAGGGATGAGTTCATACATACACTCAAGCGGTAATGCTGACGTCCAATCTTACTTTTGGTTTTCGCAATTCAACCACCGGTTAATGTAAGAGAACTGGCACCAGCACACGTATTCCGTTCGTGGCTCCTGCTTCTAATTCTAACTAACACTTCAAACTTTCGTTAAGATACCACACTGGATCTTGCCTTGCACCCTTCAGACGAGTCACTTTTAAGACTCCCTCCTGGTCTTTTCCAAACCATTGAAGCAGACCAAATAACTTAAGCTGCAGTTTTTAGTTTCACATATTGCATACCTCCTAATTTTGTCCAGTCTGACTTGTACATCGCCATAAGACCAAACCCGTTCATTTGCCAAAACCCTCGATGTTCCTTTGGATCACTGTTACAATTAAGGCGACCAACTATAGGAAAATACGCCATTCTACCAGCTATGGTGTTCTGTAAAATGATATATACATCACTGCTTCAGAATGAATGTTTAGTGCTATTGTATGCCCAGGAAAGTTTAGGTCTCCGTGTACAGACTTGAGACAACTCACGTCATTATAGCCTGAGAAAACAGCCGACATTTGTCGACGCTACCACTGATTTCCCCACCAAATGACGTCTGAGAAACCAGCGGAGAAATTCCATACTGATGACGTGTCACTACCCAGATCTGGGTAGTGACGCGTCATCAATATGGAATTTCTGCGCTCGTTTCTCAGACGTCATTTGGCGGGGAAACTAGTGGTAGCGTCACTAAATATCGACTGTTCTCTCAGGCTAACGTCATTAACAAGTAAAAGATATCCACAATAGAGTACTAAGTGATGACGTCATAAAAATGAAATTTCTGAAATTATGGGATTTGTCAGGTTACTTTGATAGAACAATGTCAAAGAGGCCTAGTTACCAAAAATGAGCATTTCGGGGCAAATTTTCTCGGAGATGTTAGCCGGTTATACTCAGAAAACTACATACAAACCCTTCTAATTTTTGGGGGGTGACCCAAAAATATTTAGAAGGGTTTGTATGGAGTTTTCTAAGGATAACTGGGCTACAATCTCAAAGACAATTTTTAAAAAGTAGACTAAATGTCATCAAAAAACTTTCAAAATATTGTTTAGTCCTTAAACTCAGCTTTGATTTTGTCATTCACTTTTGTAACCGGGTGGGTTACAATTTGAACCTAAGATTAGTACCTGTTTAATAGGTCTTCTAGCAATAGTGGCTATTCCCGAATGCAAGCAGTCCACTTGTATCTTTCTATTCATGTAATTTTATTCCCAAACGTACACTTTGAGACACTTACTTTTCGAATACTATCCATAATATTGACGGGTACATCAATGTGCAGGTCGAACAAGAAGACTATGTCATGCGCATTGGGTACGACTTCAACAGCCTTGTTCAAAGCTAGTGTCTTATAAAATTTTCCAGTTCGTAACTGGACGACAGTATGCCTCCTATTGAGAAGTGATGTGTTGAATGCTTCTTTTATATCAATATCTTTGCTTTCAAAATCAGCGATAATGACGTGAAAATTAGTATCACCGGTCAATACACTTGCAGTAGTGACTTGTTTGATGAAATGATGTATCCATTTTCCTTGCTCCTTGACAGGAATGATAAAATAAATTGTGGCGTTGTTATTCCAAATCATTCCCTCAGGAAGACACAGGCTACCACTTTCTTTCTTCTGGTAAACGTGTTCTGTCAACCTAAATGTTTGATCGGTGCAATTTAAAGAGACTTCAAGATCCAGCAAGAAGCGATCACCATTCTCGGCGTCCGGTTTTTGAATCACGTTATTGATATTCTTTAAGACAATGTCACTGAAAAAAGAACAAATGAAAATACAGCAGCACATAACTGGTTTTACACAGACGAACATCAGGGTGGGGCAGGGAAGAGCATTTGGTCGCGTTTTGACCGTTCTTAAAGTCAAGCGATCTAGACTGAGTTAGGTAGCAGCTCACAAAACCCTAAAAGCCAATTGGCTCGATACCCTAACCGTGAAACAATGGGAAATAACGATACACAATGATGTGTTATTGTTTTCTGGCGACCAATGAGGAAACACCTTACAAGCAGCTCCCACATTACTGAATCTAGTAAGTAGTTCTGGTACTGCAATGGTACTAAGGGGGTCTTCAAAGGATGAATAGCACCATCCTTTGAAGGAAGGTTTAAAAACCTAGCAGCTTGTATGGAGGATTCGAACTTGATAGTCAATGGTAAAATTACCGTAAATTCCAAAAATAAGCCCCGGGGCTTATATTTTTCATAGACCCTTTTTGAGGGGCTTATTTTTGGAGGGGCTTGTATACGGAGGGGCTTATCTATGGAGGGAAATTTGCGTTTCGAAATCGATTGGGCTAGCCTTTGGAAGTAACTTTACCGTTCTTGCTTTGTTTTACTTTGTATTTGAGGGCAATTTTCCAAGTACTAGCTCCTCGGGGGGCTTATATTTGGAGGGCGATTTAACGGAGGGTTTTTTGCGTTACCGGTTTGGGGGGCTTATATTTGGAGGGGTTTATACATGGAGGGGCGTATTTTCGGAATTTTACGGTAGCTCGACAAAGAAGGTATCAACTTATTGCGTGTGTCGATTGTCATGTTTCAAATAACTCTTAATAACCTTAATAATTTCGCAGTGCTAACGCTTCCTCAGTTAGCAAACATTTGGAGCAGGTATGTATGTAAAGCAGCTGGGGTTGTTCGCATATAATCCATTTCGACATCATGCGTAAGTTTCTAACCAACCCGCCCACCCAAAAAAATTTTAAAAACATTTTACTGTTAAAGGCTAGGGTACCCGGATTAAAAAAACGAGAGAATTAAGCCGTGCATCTTAGTATGACACCGTTAAAGATTGCTGCCCGTTAGACAATAGTAGAAAAGTTGAGGAAGTAGTTGAAGGTAGAAAAGCTGGAGCCGTGATGGTAAGTTCTACTTGAAAGAAAAAACACATACACACTAATTACCCCTGAATATCAGTCAAATTTTTAAGAAAGTAACGCCACTTACTTCCGCCGTAAAATGGACATAAACTCGTTTACAATGCACTCAACTCTGTTCTTGTTTATTACAGGATTGGGTGATGCCCATTTCTTAACTTGTTCTTTGCTAGACATATCGGTATCGTCTTGCGGAAACACAAGGGATTCCTTTCCCATTGTCAGCCAAACTCCCTGATAACGTTCGAGCTTTCTTCGCACCAAGAAACTGGGATTGTAACGGCAAGTTGGAAATAAAGTCATGTACTCCATTCTGTTCATCAGTGGCAGACGAAGAAATCGTTCCTGCAAATTGCTTTCAGTGCCGCTGTTGCACCGGCGGGGACTTCGTTCTAAACTATTGGTGCCATTAAAAGGAGATAAGAACTTGGATAAAATAATTCTGAAGTTCGAGTTCTTTGAAGCGGAAGTGTTCAGCCAATGAACCGTGACAAACGTTTCATCAGAACTTTGCCTGTTCACTGCAAGTGACTCCATGTAGTATTTCTTGCCAGCGTAAAGCGAGATTTCACAAGATATTTGGCCATGGTATTTATTATACTCTTCTTTTAAAGTGGAGGCCCACTCATCAGGCGAGTAGACACGTGCGATCAATTGGCTGCAGGCGGGGTGCTCATTCGGACTCAACCAAAGCTCAGATGGGCCACTTGATGTGATAGCAAACGTGTACTTGCCATCAACTTGCGGATGGATAAGACCAAAAATTCTTTGTCCTTTATTCGTTGAATCGTTGACTGTTCTGCTGTGAAAGTCCGTTATGAAAGAACGCTTGTTCGGAACGTTTGCAAAATGGGGCCAGTTTCGCAACGCGTCCATGGCCGTTTCAGATATATTCCACCAGACATGTTCGTTCATCATTCCGTGGTTCGTGTGGACTGTAGGAAAATTTTGTACAGAAAACGAGATTCCTCCTTCTGCTTCTTCGTACTTCAAAATATTATTAGGAAATGACTTGGAAGAAAAGTTGAATGTTTCAGAAAGCGTGTACCGTATGTAAAGAAATATGCAAGACAGACTTCCTAGTAGCGTAATTATGGCGAAGTACCGCTTGAGATACCTTTTTCGAAAAAGTACCAAAAACCTCGGCCAAGAAGCCATATGTCCTGAGATGAGTTTAAAAAGCAGCAGAAGTTACTGTGGCGTTTGACTAACTTACAGGCTTGAGCCCGAATACGATCATTATGCTTCACAACTCAACATAACACATTCCCTTCACGATCTAAAAAAAAAAAGCAAACAGCAGAAAAAAAAGTGCGGCGTTGTGTTACTAAGGAAGTGTGCGTATAAATGCGTAATTCCGAGGTGGTCATTATACTAAAAGACATAATATTTCGACAGCTCAATTATCAGATCGTGAAATACAGCGTTAAATTTATAATAAGTGTACATAGGAGAAAAAACTATAACAAAATTTAAAAGAAACGTGTGTTATGAGTATGAATGACTATTAAGAAAGGTTTGAATTTACATGGCGTCACTGTTGGTTTAATTGTTCCCACTGGATATAAAAAGCTTATTTTTTCTTGAGTTGAAAATCGGAATACAGAAGCATGATCCTTAAATTATTAAAACAATTAGGGGAACATAAACTATGGCATTTTAAGACTCCTGCAGCTGTTAAAACACGTGAAGCTGCGTGAGGCCCTATCAGCGGTTAAATGGTCACGAACGCGTTTGTGGTTAGCCAACAATAAATCTCTTTAGTAGAGGAAACAGCAAACAACAACGACAACCAATCATGAATTCCCGATGTTTGGCAAGGTCTCCGGGGTAACTTAATACAATCATTATCAGAGGTAAAAGTGGGCGAGCCTTTCGATTAATATAGTGTTTGACAGTTTCTTGGCGCCCTCTTAATTGTAGTTGCCATGTTTGTTTAGGAACATTTATTCGCAAAAGTGAAAATGAATTATAAAAGTTCAGCAAGCTTGCTCATATTGCCTTTGCCTGATGTACTAACTAAAAAGGTAATGGAGAGAGTTCTCCTCAAGGAGCGAGCTTAGATGAATCGTAATGATATGGAAAAGAGAAAATTAAAAAAAACAACTCATCAACATTAGTGAAACATAATCCAAACTTACTCGGCACGGCCCAGTTAGATTGCATACCATGTCAACCAACGGCCAGCTTGGTTAATTTTACTCACAGTGTAAACATTGATGCCAATACTTGCAGGTAAAATTAGTAAAGTTTTATTTCCTCGCTAGTGAGCCCTAAGGGTGTACGCAGGTGTACGTAATATTCTTTACGTACATACGTAATCTTCTTATTCGTAATATTCTTCCGCCTACAAGCCCTTTACTTAAAAAGTCCCCCCGCTATTAGCCCATCTACCTATAAACAAATAAATATATCTCGTTATAAGCCCCCTGGATACCCCCCCCCCCAGCTTTTATTGAAATGAATTCGATTTTTTACGAAGTTTTTGAAGCTTAAAAAAATGAGTAAATTTGAAGATCGTGGTCGTATTAACAGGTTCTTCAAAATGATAAAGTGACTGATGGCCCGGTTCAGACGCCGCTCCACTCATGTGCCGAACCTAACTGATGAAATAAGTCCGGCAAGAGAGCGACGTTTGAATCAATTTGGTACGGTAGTTTTAGTTAGGTGCGGCAGAAACGTCAAGCTCGACATGAGTCTGTCGCATTATTCGACATTGGATCGGCAGGTGATCCATACGGCGCTCTTCTGAAGAGCCGAACCTAATGCATACATTATGCATACATTATATTTATAATTTTTCCCACAATACCGCTCGTTTTTACGCAGCTGCCATGGGCGGAACACTAAATTGAGAAAAATGGCGGGTAAAGAAGAAAAATCTTGCTCCTCTCGCTTTAAGAGTACAAAATATATGGTGCCAGGAATACTTCTGTATGCCTTGCTCTGTCTTCGAGAATGATGAAACTGTTAAACGCTGGAAAGCGGACAGTTCAGTCGCATATTCCCGAGAAGTAGTGGAAGAGCACAAAGAAAAGGTCGAATATAATTATTCAAATGAATCCGGCAAAAAAAGGTCTACAGAAGCAAGAAGAAAGGTCTTCGACAAAGAGAAAATCAATTACGTCGCTAAAATATGGTATCGGACCCAGGCTTTTCTCTTTCTCCGCACATGAAATAAAGATTAGGATCGACACACGGTACGCCGTCTGAATCGGTTGCCGCGCCAATGTCGCTCCAAAGTCAGACCTAAATGAGGTTCGGCACATGAGTGGAGCGGCGTCTGAACTGGGCCTCAGAAATTTTTACGTTTGTGTCGAAAGAATATGGTCGCAATAAGGAGGTGGTCGTATAAATGGGTTGGTCGTAATAACGAGGTCACGGTGGTTGTAAGACGGGGTTCCACTGTACAATATTTCATTTAAGTGGAACATACACTTAGCCATCTATATGGATTAGTTTAAAAGAAAACTTCACCAGCTAATTTGCGGGTATACCACTGCGAATAAAATAAATAAAAGAAGAGATAAAAATAAATGAGACAGTAAAAATTACCGTCAATTAACCCCCCGAGGGGCGTTTGTAGTTCAAACACATTTGAGGGGGGGGGGGCGGTTAAAGGAGACGGGGGGCTGATTTAATTTAGCAAAGACGATGGTATCAGTTCTCCATAAAGAACTAGAATACAAAGTGAAAAAGCTCAAATAGTATTACTAAGGCACTTAAGTAAGAGGAAAATCAGTTTCAACAGGTAAAAAATTCACATCGTCAAAATTTACCAATACACGATAAAGATCAGTCTCCACGACGTAGCTGAGAAATACTTGCTCTCACGCAAGAGCCGGCTCTTTTTATACAACAGGGGCACCCAACGAGAGTATTGTTCAAAACCACATAAACATAGCATTGTTGAACGTATTTTAGTATTTAAACGGTAGATAAAGGCTTATTTTTATCCTCTAAAAATTTTTCATCTGTTCGGATTTCCTAGCTGAAAGTTTAGTGATTCGAAAGTTATAGGGATCAAAATTTACCTTTTCGAAAATTTCAGCCAGAAAAAAGGCTCCCGAAAATTCTAGGTAACCTTTTTAGGGTAAAAATCCGTTAAAAATGGGCAATTATACGATTTTTTTGAAATTCGAAAATCCTAGGAGAGGCAGGCAAGCAAGAAATTTGTCAGAAAATGATCCGAAAATTTTAGACCTCAAATCGTCTTCCGAACAGATAATTTTCCGAAAATTGTCGTTGGGTGCCCCTGATACAACAATCCGCCACTTTAAAAACTAGAAGGAATCTAAGCCATGTTAACTTTCGCAAAGACGTCTGGGAGTCTTAGAAGAAACAGAGAAAAAAATTGGCAAATAGCGGTTTAAAAGAAAGATGGATGAAAATGCCATCCATCTTTATTTTAAACTGCTTTTCATATATGAGGCTATTGAAACTTAGTTTTTACTTCAGGGTTACTTCAAATGGTGACTGCTTAAAGAGGACCGTTTACGATAACCGGTTCAAACAGTGGGTGCCACCAAATTGAGTGAACTAAAAAATAACTGCCCGAAAGCAAGCATACAGTATACATGCAGTAGAACATGCCCCAGTAACTCGAACTCTGAAGGAAAACGAAAAACAGTTTTAGGTAGCGAGGGTTCGAGTTATTAGGGTCGATTAAATATTCAATTTGTCTTGTTAAAAGTTGGTAGTTACTGATTTTTCAGCACTTCAGTGTATGGTGCAAGGCAAATTTAACTTATTTTATCAGAAACGGTAATATAATATGACTAAGTATTCTTTATGACTAAAACGTGATCTGTTCGTTTCATCAATTAAAATCAAATTGCTTTAATGTTGACCAGTGTTAGATTTAGTGTTTACCCTTATACAACAAGAGGAGATGATGGAAGGCCATCCGAGTGGATTTAAAAGAACTAGAATTCGAGTTATCGGGGTAAATTTTAGAGACGATTGATCAAGGGAAAGGAGTTTTAGTTCGAGTTAGCGGGGAATTCGAGTTATCCGAGTTCGAGTTAACCGAGTAAAAATTACTGGAAAGAGAGGTGAAATCCAAGGGGAATTGGACTTACTTCGAGTTAGCGGGGAGTTCGAGTTATTGGGTTTCTACTGCACAAAAGAAGGCACAGCTGATGGCGACGGCAACGAGAACGAGAACGGCAAAAAAAACAATAGGTTTAGTTCAGAAAAACAAAAACTTTGCACCTGCATCACGCTTTTTTGTACATTTCTCTACCGTCATTCCACGACTACGACATGAAAATGCTAATTTCACGTTTTGTGGAGGACGTGAACAAGACAACGACAACGACTCCAGAAAAAATTGCCAACATTTGACGAATTGAACGAAATGGTATAAGCGCGATGAAGTTTGAAGCAGCGAGACTATTCTCCAGTTTTAAGTGACTTTTTCGAAGCAGTAGCCGTCGTTGCTGCGTAACCTCCTTAATTATGCGTTTGGGAACTTGAGCACTAACCACCACGGTGACAGCGGTAAAAACCTCACACTTAAAAAAGGCATTTGAGCTCTTTCAAACTTCATCACTCTCATTCCATCTCGTTTAATTTATCCCTGAAATGGTGGCGAATTTCTCTGGATTTAAATTCTAAAGGACTGTATCTAAGTTTTGAAAAAAAATAACTCCATAGAACGCGAAGTGAAGTTTCACGTCGTAGTCGCGCAACTCTTCCAACGAAATGTACACTTGAAAAAGAGTGATGTACGTGCAAAGTTATCGTTTTGCTTATCTTTGCTTTTTTACCGTTCTCGTTGCTGTAGCGTTCGTCGTTGCTTAACTAGCTTCTTGTTGTTGAATATTTTATGAGTTGTTGGTGGATTGTGCTCACGCTTCGTTTATCGTAGTGTCAAACAACTGGTGGCCGGTTCAGAAAAGGAGATGAAATACAATAAAATTAGTCTCGTATACAGTGAATATGGATAAGTATTTTTTGTCATAAAATGCTGGGAATCTATACAGTCTTTGTGAACTGAACAGTTCCTTAGGTAATGAAAATCAAGCTGTTTAGTCAAAAATAGGATGAAAAACAGCCGAGAAGGGAAAGGAGAAAAAGAGATTAATAGATTTCGTAGGGAGGCATGATCCATGACCGAATTCAACAGATGAATGCCTCCCGAACCTTAGGCGCTT